GAAGCAGAAGGAAAAACATGCTACATGTGCTTAAAGGGGACCTGTTGTTCTCATTTTGAGCTCCATGTCTTTGTTCTTTGACTCTGCTAGGGTAGCTTTGCATGATTACCTGTTCAAAATGTTCCTTGTTCCTCTTAAACTGGGCCTTGGTGCGGCGCCTGCGTTCATCTGTCTGAAAAAGTCCCATCTTTCTCGCTTTAAGTTCATGGCTTCTCCTCGTGACCATATAAGGGATGCCCCCCCTCGTATTTAATGTGTCCTTTCCTCTTCTAATTGGTGTTATGACAAAACTGACCTCTCCATCCTGTCCAGGGGTGTGGCATGCTGATGCTGTCTCATTGTATTAAATTCTCCTGACTCTGGTGCCAACCTTGCTAACCTTCCAGCTAGAACAAATGTGAGATGTAACTGAGACTTCAGAGGCAGTTTGCCTCGCCTGAAGGCACAAACTGGAGACCTCCGAGTAACACTGACAGAACTAGATGATTTTTCCCAACGCTTGCTTTGTTACGCAACAATGACAGGCTTAGCGATCGCTCTTAAGCGATACGCTCTAAAGCTTTTCCTTCAGTGGAAATCTTCGTCTGTGTAAACACAGACATTTTACATTAAACCTTTGATAAAAGTTTGCACGTCAGCGTTAGAGCTGCGGTGACAGTTTGTTTGTTTCACACAGCCGACAGGTGACGGGGTTTAACATGAAGCTCTGTTTGTGTGATTGCCTGCAGTGGAAACCACTCCTGCAGCGCTGGAAGTGTCAAGTACAACGACACAGATCCGTGCTGGGGCTCTGTCACGAGAAAAGATGCGTACCGGGTGTTTCTGGTAAGTGTTTATTTATTCATTTTTTAAACCAACTTTAACAAGTTCCAACCAAACGGCAACTTTCAAGCCTCAGGAAGTGGAACTTAGCCCAGTTCTGCAGCCACAGTCAGTTGACCTCACAATGTTAGGACTAAGGCCAAACTGTGGTGAGCTGGCAGACTGTAGCTGCTCTGACAAATCCCTCCAACATCCAACTAACCAGTGCAAACCACCAACTAAAGATTCATTTATAGTGTTTTTTGTTCAGGACACACCAAAAAGCTGTGACAGTTTAAACCCACGCCTGTACTCATAGCAGCTGAAAGTATCCTCTGGATCAGTGGACATGCAGTACTTTGTTCTTTTGGTTTGTCTTCTGGCTGAAATGTGCACAGAAGTGGACAGCTTTCACATTTCTCTGTGTGTCTCCTGTGCAGTTTTTGCAAATATTAAACATGTTTTTAAAAATCTAATTGAGAGAAGTTAGCAACAACAGAATACATCTTGGTTCAACCTAACCAGGCTTTTCAATTTGGTTTCCAAGTGTTATTGTCATTTCCCTGGGTGACTGTAGCTCAGGCAGGTCATCTACTGATTGGAAGGTTGGTGGTTCGATTCCTGGCTTCCCCTAGTCTGCATGCCAAATATCCTTGGGCAAGATACTAACCCCAAACTGCTCTCCAATGCATCCATTGGAGTATGAATGTGTGTGAATGTCAGTTAGAAAGCACCTAGGAAAAATGTGCTTGTACGAATGGGTGAATGCACAAGTTGTGTAAAGCGCTTTGAGTGGTCAGAAGAGTAGAAAAGCGCTTTATAAGAACCAGTCCATTTACCAGTCCCTGTACAATTGTGCAATTCTTCCATTGATGTCCACAACAGATGGCAAACAGGAAAATCCACATATAAAACAGATAAATAGAATAAATTATAATTAAAAACAGTTATAAAAAAAACATATGAAAACTGTAGTAGAAATATAAGATGTGCAAAAAATAGAACTATAAAAATAAAAGGAAAGAATCTGACCTCCCATGAGTTATGTGCATGTTGTGGATATTTATGCAGTTTGGAGTACTTGATCAGCTGTGTGTGCAGTAGACAGCTGTGAGTGTGCAAAGTGAGAAACGCAGACAGTAGCAGATGAAAGTAGGCCGAGATTAACTTCTGTTTAATGGCAGCAGGAAGAAAGAGTTCTTTAGTCTGCAGATCTTAGATGTCACACTTTCATACGTCCACACGAGGGTAGAAGTGTGAACAGTCCATGTTGGAGGTGGGTCTTTGATGATGGAGGCAGCTGTCCTGTGGTCAGGCTTTCTGCTTCAGGCTGTAACATAAAAAGCAGATACTTGACTCTTCCTTTGCACAAAATGAATGCCGCTTGTTTCAGTCATAAAAAAAAGACCCAGAGCAAATCAAGAGAACAATGTTTGCAGAAATCTTCTGAATTCATGGATTAATATGTGTTATTTTACCACTCAGGACTTTCTCAGGGCTGGTTTGTTTCTCATTTATATACACAGGACAGGCTAGTGAGTGCGTTCAGGTCTGTCTCATATCCTAATGAAGGAGATGTGGAAATCAATTTGTGGCCAGATCAAAGCGAAATTAATTTTATGGATTGAATATTCTTGGAAAATGGTCTAAAGATGAGCTTTTTATCAGTAAACATAAAAATATATTTATGGATTTTCTGCATCACATGCAATGTGTTGCATATAGTTTGCACAACTTTGTTTATTCATTAACTCTTTATTACAATAATATGTGACAATTTTGTATTTCCTGTGGAGTTAAAACTGCAGCTCCGGACATTTGAGACACTAACAAGCCCCAAATTTCCTGCTAACCCCTTAGTTCATGGTCCCCTCAGGTTCTGTTCAGCTCGATGTGTCTCAGTCAAGTCGCATTTACAAACAGCATGACTGTGGTTAAATGTGGGAACCACATGTGAGGAAAAAACAGGTGTCAGTGAGAGTTTGTGGACTGTTGTTTGTTTCCAGCATAAAAAGCAAAGACAGTACAAGAGGTTTGTTCAGCAGTGCAAGTGCAGCATGTTTTCCAGGGAACAGAATTCCACAGTGATGACTTCACTGGATAAAAATATTCTTTTGGCCCAAGCAGCCCATGTTCGTTCACCCTGCATGGATATTTTTATCTCCCATAAGAACAAGGCGTAATGTGCCCAGCCTCCATTTCTGTCAGACTCTGATCTTAACAACATTTTCTGTTCTCGTCTTCACTCAAACTTCCCCCGACACCCTGCACGCCCCCACCTCGGCTGCCCACAGGAAGTGTTTTGTGTCCTTGAAGTCTTAACTGTGATTTCCACTCGAGCTTTAACTTTGCACTGAGACAGTGATCGATGTGCTGATCTTCTCCCGAATAATTTCGGAGCCTCGCCTCTCTCCTCTCTCGCTCTCGCTCTTCGTCCAGTCCTTGCTTATATTTAACAGAATGAGCAGACAAAATAATTTCCTAATAAATGAACTTTTCTCTCCTTTGTCTCCTTTGGGGTGAAGCTTCTTATTATATGAAACTAATTTAAATAATGCTGATTTGTGATCTCCGGACTTTTCGTTTACAGTTGCAGTTTTGCAGATTAATGTAACAGTTTCGTTAGAATCAATCATGATTATGTGAGGCAAGAAAAAAAGATTTTTATGGCTAAGTAATAACAGAAATATGTATATAAATTATAAGACTCTCATACACTAATAACAGCTACTCTGCGGTTTTGTCCGTTCCTTTGAAATGCTTAAAAAGAAAACCGTGCTGTCTGTGGACGTATTTCAAACTTGCAACAATGGAGTATTGTTTAGGAAAGGCATGAAACACGCTGTCCAACACCAAACTAAACCAAACTAACCGTGCAAGCAGTTGTTTCCAAGCCAGCTGAGCGATACAATCTCTCCAGCAGTGCTCAGCTAGGTGGTGTTCAGGAGGTTTCATCCTCAGATACCAAAAGCCGTCCACTTGGCTCTTTTGTAGGAGTGGCAGCTTTTATCCTGAGCTCCTCTTATCTCTAAGACTGAGCCCAGCCAACCTTCAGAGGGAGCCCGTTTCTGCCACATTTTATCCACCAACCTATAATTTGGTCACTGCACACAGCTTGTGGTCATTGTTGAGGGTGGAGACGGAGATTTTTTAATACTTAACACATTCACTTTCATGCTCAGGCGTCTCTTTACCGCAGTAGGACGTTACAGCGTCCACACCGCTGTAGACAACGACTGCAGATGCTGCATCTGTCAGTCTCCCGCTCTGCTCTCACCCCACCCGTGACAAGGACTCTTCCACCTGGGGCAGCACTTCATTCCCAACCCCGAGCGGGCCCTCCGCCCTTTTCCAGACCCGTAGCTTCAAACTCAGAGGTGCTAATTCACAATCCAAGCCACTTCACACTTGGCTGCAAACCATCTCAGTGCGAGCTCGAGGTCACTGCCCGATAAAGACAAAATCGGTCACAGCGCTTTGAACTGACATCAGGGTTCTTACAGCGAAAGAGTAGATTTAACGTTTATTTCTATCAAAATTTAATTTGAAGTGGCAATAAAGTTTCACGTAATTATACTTGTCAATGCCGCGTGTGTGTGCGTGCAGACATGCATGCATGTGTGCGTGTGCGTGCGTGCAGGCATGCATGGGATTATGTGAATAAGTCTTGTATAGCAAAAAGTTGCACTTTGAAGAAATGAAGAGGAACAGAGAACTGTATATAAATCTATGTAATGACACAAATTTAATTCATTGTTCATTCCACTGATCTAAATGAGTTAAACTTACACCCCTCGCGTTCGATTTTTCACTGTGTGTTAATAACTAGAAATAATATGATCTTTATCATAATCAGCTTACAGCTGACAAGTAATAATTTGTTACATTTTTATTTATTTTTTATTAGGAATATAATTTTAACAGTATTTTTATCCATCAGATCTTTCTTTCATATCTTCAGTAAGTCATAATTCTGTTAGGGGGGGATAAAACACTCCTGTGGTCGGCTGGCCTGCGTCTTCACTCGGGTCTGTGTGGGGTCAGAGGCTCTAGCCTAAAGTTACCCAGACTGATGACTCTAAATAATTGACTCTTTCTTATCAGCTCTTCTTTTGCCTGCAGGGGGCCATCAAAGCCAG